GTGCAGTACCCTCTTTGTGTGGTGCAACATGCAAACTATTTTTTGTTTCATATGATTTAAGAAAAAATTGTATACCTTTCAGGAAGCTTGGAGGGGCCTAGTTTTGCTAAAGCACGCTCTACTTCCTCACTTACCTGTTCAATATCATTAAAGTTAAAGGTTAAGAAACACAAACCAACTTCACCTCCAATTACATGCATCAATGAGTGTGAACTCCAAGAAACTTATCCATCTTACAACTCTGCGAAGAATGGGCTCCAATGATGCGCACAGTTTCTGCAGACTGTCAACCTTCAGAGCTTCAACAATTACACTGCATCAAAATTGCAACTTTACTCTAAATATTTGAAGTTATAGAGAATTTAAGAAAACTATTGCTGCTTTGTCAAATTACACTTCAAATCAAAGCATTAAAACGCAGCATTAACTCCAAAGCCAACTTAACATCAAACAAATGACTCCAACACATTCCCACTAGCATCCAACCAAACAAGCTCAAAACTTCAAAGAAAATTAGTAAATAAGTGACATAGAAACTCACCTAGCAAGTGCAGGCCGTTTCCTATCAGTTCCTTCATCACCAGAGCTTGAATCCAAGCTCCTCTTCTCCCTCGCCACACTGCTCGATCTCTCCACAAACCTCGTTTGCATCTTCTTCCAGCCTCCCGTTTGGCTGCCGAGAAAATGCAAGGAAAAAAAAAGAAAAAAAAAGAAAATTCAAATCAAATTTTACTCCCTCCCTCTCACTCTCTCAATTACTTTAAATTTTTAAACTTTCCACTTCTCAAAAACAAAGCATCTTATTCCAGCCTCCTGTTTGGCTGCCGAGAAAAAGCAAGAAAAAAAAAATTTCAAACCAAACTTTACTCCCTCCCTCTCACTCTCTCACTTACTTTAACTTTTAAACTTTCCACTTCTCAACAACAAAGCATCTTCTTCCAACCTCCAGTTTGGCTGCGGAGAAAATGCAAGAAAGAACAAATTTTAATTCAGACATCCTCTTCTCACTTCAACAACCCATTTATTTTCTCCAAAACGAACACAAACTGTAAATCCAGCCAAAAAAAAAAAAAAGATTCAGTCTTTTTTCAATAAAAGGAATGTGAAATCTCTCTGGGTTCGACCATGGAGCGAAATGGAAAAGAAAAACATGAAAAAGAGGAAGCGGGAAAGTGAAAAGAAAACCGAAGTGAGAACTTCCAATTTATGGAGAGAAGCTTCTGGGAAATGTCTGCGAATTTTCGCCTTTGTTTTATGCGTTTGGAGGAGCTTTTAGTGTTTGTCCGTTTGCTTCACTGTGAGTGACGCCTTTCGCCTTTTGGACGGTAGCGAATATGTTCCCTACCTGTTTTCGCTTGGAGGTAGCGGGTGGACCGTGATCCCTTTTGTTACTGGGAATCACAAGATTCTGGCCCTTGAATTGGCTACCAATATTAGTTATTTCTATCCCGTTAAACTAAGTAGAACAGGCATCACCCTTAAAAGGTTAGTTTTATTAGTAACTAAGTATTATTTGTTCCTATAAATATTTTTTTTTTTTGGTACTAACCTCTCCATATCAAATAAAAACATTGGATCCAACTAATTAAGAAATGAGCTACAAATCACAAGAGTAAGCTCTTCTAATATTTATTTTTCTATCCACAAAACTCAAATTCTAAACCTTAACTAAGCCCTTGTTTGGATAGAAAATAGTAAAGGAAGGAAAGGGAGGGGAATGGAGGAAAATAAAAAGACATGGAGGGGGAGGAAAAGAAAGGGAAGGAAATGATTTGTATTAATTTTGTTTGGATAAATAAAAATGAGGAAGGAGAAGGGAAAGAAAGGATTGTATTATTTTATATTTGGATAATTAAGGTAAAAGGAAGGAAAGAAAGGGAAAAATTTAAATTAATTTTAAATTTACAAATTTATCCTTTAAACTTGTAATGGAGAAGGATATAATAAAAAAATTAAGGTTAATTTTGTAATTACATTTAATTTAATCTAAACAGTTACTCAAATCCCTCCAAAACCCCTCAAATCGGATGGATTACAAATCTGCAGATTTAAGGATGGTTAGAGGGAGTCCGAATCAGTCTATCTCCCTCTCTGCCTTTTTGGAAACCCAAACAAGAGGAAGGAGAAAACCTCCCCTCGCTCTCTCTCCCTTGCCATCCATCCCCATCCCTTCCCCTCCCTCTCCGTCCGACACCTCCAATCCAAACAATACCTAAAAGAAATCGACTTTTTTCACTCACTCATACTAACAAGTTATTGGTATTTTTTACTACAAATATAGAATTTATGAAATGCACCAGGATTAATTAGAATCAGACCACTTTAACCGTATAAAGAAAAAAAAAATACACCAAGATATTCGTATTTAATGGCATAGCTCAAAAGGGAGAAGTGTAAAGATGAAGCCTGAAACCAGAATTTGCGGGCATGTCAAGAGCAGGAAAGCAAAAGGAGTAATTTGACTTGCATGAGGTTAGCTGGAATAAAAATCGGCATCTTCTTTTGTCCTGCTTCTGAAAGTAAACATCTTTCCTTGGCCCCTGAAAATATCATTTTTCTTGGAAAAGTTGAAGGCGTGTCAAACGTGCTCACAGTCCCTCGAGTAGATAAGTTTCTGAATTTTTCACAATTATTTTGTATAAATTCATAATTCATCCATTGTGCAAAAACTATTATACGGTATAGGAAAGAAAAAATTTTAAAATAGATGATAAAATTTGGTCAAATATAGATTACTTGGCCATCAAAACAATAGAACACAGCATGTAACCAAGAATAACTCAACTGGTGGCTTATTAAAGCTATGTTACATCACTCAAATGGAAAGGAACAAATACCAAAAAATGAACCATAATTTCAAACATGGTCCTCATGGTAGTTAATGTGTTTTTCTGTTCTTCTTCTTGCCTTTCTTTTTGTCCCTTTTCTTAAGTGGTTTCGGTTGCGTTTTGTGTTTTGCAACTTTCTTGAATGATTTACTCACAGGTCGGCTGTGCTTTCTACTGGCTTCAGCTAATTTGGACATGTTTGAATGTCTTTTTTCCCCAGCAAATGTTCCTTCCTCACGTGAAATCTCCCTAGTTGTCACAGTGACAGTCACGTTGCCATTATCATAAGTTGTTGTATCTGCAACATTTAAACAATTCCCGAGTAATAATATGAGCACTGTGTTTAGGCTTGAATGACAGAAATGGTGCAAATGCAATATGAGCAGGACAGGAAGGCATCTTTCTTCCATGCACCATAATATACAGTCAAAGCAATTTACACTTACATTCAACAATAAGACATGACAATCTTTGTATCCTCAAATACTGAAATGTCTTAATAGAGGCAGAAAATACTTAAAATTTTAAATTTTACATGTTTTTGAAGTCACAAGTTAGTAACTTCTTTTCTCCTTGGCATCACTAATTTTGCAGAAATTTCAGCATATGAAGCACTTTTATTTTAATCTTAAATAGATTAAAATACCTATTTGACGACCAACTTAACCAAAAGAAAGTATCCAGTTGAGTTAGATCTGATTAATTTATAATTATTTCAATCAATCATATTGTAGTTTTTGAATATTACCAGCAACTGATGCAAATGCCTCTCCTTCATTTTCCTCCTCAACTACCCCATCACTTTCATCTGGCTCTGAGCCAGTGCTTGGTGGAGCTCCACCATATAAGGCAAGTTCTCTTTCTAGTTTTCTCTGCCATATTCATTATATTACATGGTAAATAAGCAGAATCATATTCAAGTCACAAGAAGAAGCCAAACGGCAACGTACAATTGATGGTGTCATAGTACCATATCTTTGACAGAATCTAGACTTGTAGGTTAATCAGCATACAAAGAGAAACAAAAAGAATCATCTCCCATCCCAGATATGATCTCAAAAATTGATTCAATAATGCTCAGAACAACACTGCCAACTGAAAAGAAAAGAACTATTGACAACGTCCTTCAGTTTCAACTTTTTAGTTTCAAATCCCATCCATTCCCAATTGCCCAATGAAGGTGCTTAGAAGTAGTGTTGAAATAGCTTGGACCCTTTTGACGTGCATGCTAAATTATATCTCCTTAACAGACAAATGGAGTACCCTATTATTTTCTTTTTTCACAATGGCTTTTGGTCCAGAGTCCCCCTCTTCGACAAGGCATAGAGTGACAACACGAAAATTCATCAGCACGAATCCAAGACTACCCAGCTTTGATATATTCTTTTAAACCAAGGAGAAGAGTGGGATCTTGTGTTCCCTTCCTACCTTACAGCCAGCATAAGCCTTTTCCCGATCCCCAATAATTCACAGACAATATCCATGCGCATACCGATGCATAACGACACAACATACTATAAATTTCTCAAATTATTATGGTAGCAGAAAAGATACCTGATGTAGACAAATATATAACTGCTTAAATTATATACAAAAGAACACAAAATACCAGAAATTTCTCAAATGAATATGGTATTTCTAATCCAAATAAAGCCCCTCTCACTTTCATTGGGTTCAATCATTTTGACAAAATCATGTGACTCAATAAGCACAGAGGTAATCTAGATAATCCAACTAAACCGTAATTTGAATCTCAGAGTTAAATTAAAAAGAAGAAGACGAAAAAAAAGGAATTGAAGAAAAATTTGAAACCTTTTTGCGCTCCTCAATGCGCTTGCGGCGTAGGGCCTCGTCCTGTTTCCTCTGAGCTTCCTTTCTCCGTTTCTTCTTCCTCTTGTGAAACCCAGTCACGTAATCTCTTATAAAAACAAACGAACCAATTTCAACAATTGGACAAAAACAGAACAGTGCATAAAGTTTCATTCTCTGCTTTCCTAAAATGGACAAAAAATCAATAGTTTCCGGTACCTGAGATCCTTCTCGTTGAAAGAGACGGCGAGCGCCTTGTTCTTCAGGGCCCTCTTCTTTATATGGCGGCCTCGGACTTTCGGGAGCTGCGGTGGCGCTTCCTCCTCAAACTCTTCTTTCATGGCAACTACTGTTTGCCTTCGACCTGGACTGGCTGTGGGGTTTAAGGAACCTCTAAATAGGGGCTGAACCTTCTTCAACATGGGCAATTAAACTCTCATACTTTTTCCCCTGACAAATTAGTCCCCCAACAGCCAACAGCCGTAAGTTGTTCTCTCTTCTTTTTTTTTTTTTCTTTTTTTTTTGTATTTTATTTTTTAACATCATCTTAGTCGAATAAAATTTGGATTAGTGAGCTCAATAGTGGAGACATTGTTATTTGAAAATAGATTGAGCCACCAAGTTTACAACATTGAGTGACAGCTTCCTCAAGAATGCCTTTTCCAAACATATCACCTTTTGTTTTGCCTAGAGAAACAATGACATGAGGTGATGGGAGAAATTTTATTATTATTGTCTATGGCTTTAACATGCTTTTCATTCTTTGATGCAAGGCAATGTTATCCTAATGCCAACTAAATGTCCAAATAAAGGAGATCTAACTTTAAAGGGGAGGAAGATAAGAATGTTGCCTCCATGAATTGAAATATCTAACAAAAGTAGGTGCATATTACAAGACAAGTAATAGAACCACTTTGAACTGGTAGGTGGTTTGCACATGCTTTTGCTCTAGATGAATCAAACATCAATCACACTGAATGAATTAAAAGTCAAAACAACAACATGAGCATTTGATAAATGACACATTAATTGAACGACGGATGTGTGACCTCTTGCCATTAGTAAGTAAAGTCATTTAAGAGTTATTTAAGTTGAATTTAGCTTAAATTTGACTTATTTAGTAAATGAATATATTTTTTTAACAAATATTAATTTTGAGATGGGTCTGAGTTATGATCTAGCATAGGCCAATCACCTTCATTGCCAACAAAGTGTGTGGATGTTCATCCTCGGAAAATTATAATATCTTTATTCATTAATATAGTAATATATTATTATGTATGATCTTACTTATAATTAAAAGGATTAACATATAATATTAATTATTTAATAGTAAGTAAAAGTCTTATTAATACTATTTATCAATATCAATATTACTTTTTAAATTTTGTTGTTATTAAAGTTTAAAATGCATTAGGGTTCAAAAATTATAAAAAAAATTAAAATTTTAATCCTACTCATTAAATTTTGCTATTTTTAAGGCCCAAAAAATAAAAAAATAAAAAATTTATTAGTGTTTAGATAACTCTTCTATTTTTTAGTTGATTTTAATTTTTTTTAAAAATTTAATTTCAAATTGTGATTTTATTTAGAGATTTCAATATTTTCCTTTTTAAATTAAAATGGTAATTATTCATTCATTTTTTATTGTTAGCCAAACACTAAAAAATAAATGACTTCAAATTAAAATTATTACTTTATTTACAAGATTAGATAAACAAAATTAAAAAATTCTACTTAAATTTAATTTAAATCTTATATAACAAAAAATATTACGTAAAATCATGCATTTGAAATTCAAACTACATCTTCCTAAATTTTGAATCTAAATTTGTAATTAATTTTATTGTATTATCCTTTTAAATTTTAAATTAATATATCTATAAAACTTATACTAAATAATAGAACCAATCATTTTTATTAAAAAAAAAAAGGTGAAATCCCTCTTCCCTTCAACTGTTGAGTAAAAATCTATTAAAAGTTGCTCGATTCTTCATAAAATAAAAATTAAATAAATTAACAAATATAAATTTAAAACAAAATCCCCCACATAGGGGTTGAACAACCACTAGGACATTAATATGTATGTACGGTTTGGTTCGTCAAACTATTTTTTTAATATTAACTTGTTTTCTTTAAAAATATAAAATTATAATATTTAATTAATTTTTAATACCCATTTTATTTATTTTTAATAAATTTAGTTTGATTTATTAACATTTTAAACATGAATTTTAAATAAAAATTTGATATATTATATAAATGATAATCTTTTTATTAAATAAAAATATTTAACAATAACTTTATATAGAATTTTTTAATTTTTATTTATATAAATTTTTAAATTTTTATTTAAAATTTATATTTAAAAAATAAAAAAATTAAACTCTATCTACCAAAAATAAATAAACAAATATATACACCTACTAATTTTAACTAATATTTATATCTTTTAAATATATTTTTCCCAAAGACTTATAGTCATAACACATCACCACATAACATAGCAGAGTTGTCATGTCCTAGCATAGAAAAATTTATTTTAAAAAATGGGATGTGCCTATCCCACTCACTTGATTTATATAAATATTAATTTGTAAATTAATTATAATATATTAAATAATAAATATTAGTAAAATGGTGGTTGGGGATAATCACACCCAAAAAAAAAAAAAAAAAAGCGCCAAACCAAACGAACTATCTGTCGTACAATCCAAGGCCTGTGCCGTTTTAGGCAAAACGATCCAATCTATCTTCACCGAACCGTACCCAAGGATCCTCCGGGCGTTCTGTCATTTTCCGACGCTGCCAAATGGAACAGGATCAACCGGAGAGTCAATCTGTGATACAATCGGACCGGGTCAAGATCAACGGGACGGTGTTACCGCTGGAGGTTACGGGAGACGGGAAGCTCCGGTGGATGGATGAAGGTCAACGGTGTTTGACTTTGGAGAAGGAGGTGCTCGGGTTTTCCGTGGACGGTTCCAGAATCAAGATCAAAGCCGTTGTTGAGAAAGGAGGTGGAATTTGCTGTGTTGGTAATGGCGGACATTTGGTGAGGAAGAGCTTCGTGTTCGAGCCTCTCTCTGAAGATTCGCTCAGGCTCTGGTGTCAAAAGCTTCGCGACTATATGGATTCTCTTGGTATGACCTCGAATCACCGTTCATTTTCCAGTTTTGATGTTCTGTTTTGTTCTATTAATTAGAAGAATTCCGTTTCTTTATTCATCCATGAACTAATATATGGTTTATAATTTGGTAATTAATCTTTTTTTTTTCTACCCTTCAAATTCTAAACAATTTGATACCTTTAGCCATTAGCTATGTATACTGTATTCAGAAGCTGGAATGAAAATGTGTTTAATTTTCATGAAATAGGGATCATGAAGCATGCCATGTTTGACTTGTAGTTGATCTTTCTTACCCACAAGTCATAGATAAGGTTCATGCATTAATGGAGTTGAATTAGTTTGCCTAATTAATTTCATTTTTTGGTTGATTTTTAAAATTGAATGATTTAAGTAGTGGCACTGTCATCTTTGCTTTCCAACAGGTCGGCCGAAGAGACTATTTATTTTTATGAATCCATTTGGTGGGAAGAAATCTGCTCCCAAGATTTTCTTTGAGGATGTAAAACCTTTCCTTGAAGATGCTGATGTTCAGTTTACATTGCTAGGTCTAGATTCTCATCCCATAGAACCGTAAAGATTGTTATTTAGCATCACCTGGTTTTACTGCATTTTTGTTTATGCTTTCTTAGTGTTACTCAACTGTCAGAAACTAAATATCAGCTGCATGCAAAAGAAATTGTAAGGACTTTGGATCTCTCAAAGTATGATGGCATTGTTTGTGTTAGTGGGGATGGCATCCTTGTCGAGGTTAGTTGGCCTCGCTTTGTTGTTTCATAAATGCTTTTCTGTGTTTTTGATGCTCATGAGATAGATAGATTGTGGAACATAACCATGTCAGAGGCTAATTATTTGCCTTAGATTGGTGCAACTTTTGGGTATTTCCACTGCTCTCATGAAGAAGTGATGGTGTGGAGAGTGCAATTCCCAATTCTATTTTGTAGATACTTTCCATACTCTATTTTCTTGAGGTTTGATGTCAAAGTTTCTAATTTCCCTGAATTATCGGGTTCTTTGTTTTGCTTCTTTTTGAAAAAACTCTGTTAAATCAAAGACTCTCATCTTTTAAGTTACAGCACTCTCTTGTAGAAGTGTATATGTAGTTATATTGAATTATGGTACACTAGCTTTATGGAATGCAGTCATGCACTCTGGTAGAAGATTTAATTGCTACAGAGCCAGTGACTGCAAGGCATTTAAATTAATAGAAACTAAATTAATATAAGCATATACCCTTCACATTGGCAGACTTCCATTATAGTAAATCCTGAGCTTTTGCCCTTATTAAGTCCAAATTCTTACCTAAGGTCTGAGCTTTTGTTTCACTAAATTGCTGATACTGGAGATTACCTTCTAGTATATCAGAGCTGTATTTATTTTTCTCTCTCACTCTTGTTGCACATTTTAGTAGGTTGTAAATGGACTACTTGAAAGAGAAGATTGGAGAGAGGCAATAAAAATGCCTCTTG